AAAAAAAAATGTTCTAGAAAGACCAGTAAGTAAAAAAACAATAATAATAACAACAGATAAATGATGGGTCAAGAATAGAATTCTTTATAGTTATTACATACTAAAGCATATCATGAATACCTGACATTTGAATTATCAGTGGACAAAAAAAGAGGATATCATTCTTAGGAATATGTGGATTAATTTTGTGGAGCATTGGAATTTAAGGATAATCTAATATTCTCTGGAAAGTATCCTACTTCTTTGTAAGTTATAATGTTCATTTTTGCCATGATGGTATTGCAGACTTGAGAGTAATATTGGACATAGCATTGACGTGCCTTCTGTACACTAGTGAGGAAGCCACAAATGACTGATATTATTCCTTCCCCTCATTGCTAAGGCATATACAGAATTAGCTATTGTGGATTTTTATCTTTACTTTTTTTATTTATAGAGATTATTTTACTAGAGGGCACATGCAATTGCCAAAGAGACAGAGAAAAGTGAGAAATCACCCCCTAGGAGGGAATGCCACACCGCAATCCCTTCTCCTCTGTTCTCTCAGGATTTGGGGCACGCAAGCACATGGTACCCAGTGTGTGGTTTAAGCCACCAAGTCTGGGACTCAAACCGTGGTCAACTACATGGGAGTCCAGTAACGCAGCCATTACACCATCTACGGTCCCAGGGGAGCTTTTCAAAACTGCAGATACGGGCCAGCAGATGGCGTGCAGGCTATGGCGGCTGGACCCATGTGACCTACGGCGCATCCAAGCCCTAGACCCCATGGCCTGACAAACGTGCCTGGTGCGTGTGCTTGCAGGCCCCAGGGAGAGATGGAGGAGGGACTGTGCCGCGACCGTCCTCCATGGGGAGGTGCTGTCTCACCTCTCCGTCTCTCTCTGGCGAGTGCAAATTAAGAAAACAAAACCAAAAAACTTACAGTTACTCTGGATCTTCGGCTTCAGGCCTAGGGTTGGGGCCAGCAATCGTTTCCTTAAAGCCTCTGTGTGGTTCCGGTGTTTGATCAGGTCTGGAGAGCTAGAACTCCCTGCGTCCCGCCCGTGTGTTCCACAGCGGGTGCCATTCACACTAGAGTCTGAGAAAGGGACCTTGTTTTCAGGGGCTTAGGCAAGCTGGCTGCAGAATTCCAGATTTCACTTCCAAGTTTCAGCCGGCAGGAAGAGAATAAAACGGAAAGGCAAGAAAGGTCTTTCTTCCTTCCATTAAGCGGCCTTTCTCCAAACCCACACCTGTGCTTCCACTGGCCTCTCAATGACCGGAATTAGTCACTGTAAGGGACCCTGGGAGACACCACCTGGTATTCCCAGAGGCAAAGATGCCTGGTGGAAATGCAGTGGGGAGGGGAGGTGCCGGTGGTGGGCAGGTCATTAGCAGTCGCAGCCACCACCTCCTTCCAGACTGTGTGCCAGTGAGGGGACTGGCAGGAGGACTGAGCAGGGGGACAGTGTGGATCCCACATGCCTGACAGAGGGGTGGAGTCCTGGTCCCTGCAGCTTGAGAAACACGCCCTGCACCTGTACATGCCTGCCCAAGATTCCGAGAGGAGAATGAAGGGTTGTGGGTGGCCACGCTCAGGGCTGTGTGTGGTGGGGGCTGATTTCTCACTTTCTCTGTCTCTTTCTGTCTCTCCACAAGTGCACTTGTCTTACAGCAAAAACAAACAAAACGAGATAGGGAAAAGTGAGAAAGGTGAGAATGCGGAAAAGGGGGGAGAGTGGGCTCGTGAGCTGACCACCTACTGTGCAGTCACCTCTCCGCCCCCTTCCAGCTGTCACGAGAACCCGAGGGGTGCTACTCATCCTTCCTTCATGGATGTGAAGTGACTTGCCCTGCAAGGAGGTGGGAGGGCACCGGCCAGACCCAGCCATACGGTGAGAGCTGCGCACCTGGTAGACGCTCGAGAAATCCGTGCGAGCTCCACGTCACCACGTGAAACAGAAAGAAGAGGCCAAGGAGTAATGGAGTAGGAACAGCATGGGGAGGCGCAGGGTGGGGCGTCCTCGAGAGGAAAGTACAGGACACCTCAAAGCCCAATCTGACCACGAAACTTTCCATCCAGGGAGGTCCGCTCAGACCCTGCCCTGACCACCCACCTCTCCTGCAGGTACCTATACTGTGGTGAGCTGAACGTGCAGCTGGCCCAGGCCATCCCCCTGCACAGGCTGGCCACCAAGTACGGCGTGGCGTCTCTGCAGCGCGGCGTCGCCGACTACATGCGCGCGCACCTGGCGGGTGGCGCAGGCCCCGCGGTGGGCTGGTACCACTACGCGGTGAGCACCGGTGACGAGGCCCTGCGCGAGAGCTGCCTGCAGTTCCTGGCCGAGACCTGCCTGCAGTTCCTGGCCTGGAACCTGTCGGCCGTGGCGGGGAGCGCCGAGTGGGGCGCCGTGAGCCCCGAGCTGCTGGCGCAGCTCCTGCGGCGCTCGGACCTGGTGCTGCAGGGCGAGCTGGAGCTGTTCCACGCGCTG